AGAAGGAGGAAGAAAGAGGAATTTCACCGACTTGATGCCAATCAATTCATTTGATTATTTATATAAGTCGAAAATTCGAATTGGATTAGTTTTTATGATACTACTACAATTTATTTAATTTTAACGAATAAATCCAAGCTCATTCTAGAGGTAGTTATGTAACTAGGGAAGCTACATAGCTTCCCCATCTTGTTTTTTTAAATAGGTACATATCAAGAGCTTTTGAAGCTAGAAATATTAATGAATAGGTATTTCAGCTATTGATTCAATGTTGAAAATGAATCAAATTGCCGTGAAAAGGACAAAGGATGAAAACCCGATGAGCCCTCAGACATAGCAAAGTTTCCCATGTTACCTACTGAATACAATAGGTAACATAGTTTGGGAAAATCTATGAATATTCTTCTTCGAATTTTAAAAAGAAATACCTACATTTGCGTTCAGATCTGAGCTATCTGAAAATTCCAAGAAAAAAATACTCATTATTTTTCTCAGAAATAAACATTTTATCGGGGGAAATATGAAAATTTGGGAATGTTAATACGGCGTTCAACAAAAATTCAGAGGGGGGGGGGGGGGGCGGATAAGACAAGTGGAAGAGCGAACGGGATCCACACCGAATGAATTTAATGGTGTATTTGCTAGAAGTCGAGATTTTTCAAAGTATTACGATAAAAGTGATCGCAAATGTAGCATTTGGGCCTGTTGCAAACTTTTGCAAGAGCAAAAATAAGAGTTGTCCCTAATAAATAGGTAATGTCTCAAAAATCACGATGAGCGCATCGGCAAACTCTGAAATGCACCCCTAACTTCACTATCTGCGTAAGAAATATGGGTTTTTTTAGCTTCCCGCTTCAAAAAGGATACTACAGCACGGGTGAACATTTCTTTAAAGGAGTCGTTCCATCCAATCCCTGCTCAACGTGGTCGACGCTTCCGCGCGCAAGTTGAGGAGACCACGAGGTCAATAGGTCAATCAAGGCCGGAGTCTCTATCAACGCGAGAAAATGTGAGTGTAAACACGCCTATCGTTAACAGAGGTGGTTAGAATCATTTTCCCGTCACATGTGTTTAGGCGGATTGACTTCGGCTATGTTGAATATTGCGTGGTATCCCTGTAAGCACGGGTTGGATGGGATGACTCCCAAACGAAGAGTTCACCTGTGCCGTGTTATCGTCTTTATGTCGATTGTAATTAGCCGTGATCGCCGAACGACGCTCTAACAAAGTGGAGAGCGCTCTTGGCCTTCCTTAAACGCTCGACTCATTTGCTCCCCGGGATCGGCTAAAATCAGCCTCACTCTTTGCTCTATCTCCAAGCTTCTCCACGGTCCCCGGAAGTTTACTTCCCGAGCAAACTCCTAGCCAGCGCGAGCGGCTGAAAAAAGAAACTTCGCTCTTCGGCCCGAGCGAACAGCCAGTTTGCTCCGTTCTAGGTCCCTGCTCTGAATATAATGCAGGATGCAGTTGACCCTTGAAGTTACCTTATTAACTGTTGGGTGTTGAATCGCTGATCAAATAATTTGTTTACTAAATCAGCCAATGTTTGATAAAATTTTTGCCGGCAGAGTAAAAGTTCTTACCATCGTTGGGATATTAGCCAAAGGATCTCTTTTTGCCTCTAAAGCGGCATTACAGTGACTGCTCTGACAATGATCTTTACAAAACATTGTAGTTAGACCTCGAAAGAACAGGAGATGAAAATTAATTGCATAGGCGGAAACTCCTTCACCCAAAATGGTGGCCGTCAAAGAGCTCGCCATCCCAAAAAGAAAGTCTTTCCTGAAATACTGGTAAAATGGTTGAAGGAGCTGTGCACACTAGAGGCGGATCCAGACACTTCAAACGGGGAGGGCGGATTTTTCTCTGACCCTATCTACCCGGGTGGGGGGGGGGTTGTCCACGAGGTTTACTCGGCAGCATTTTCCAAGTTTTGAAACAACTCACATGCCATTTGAATCTTTTTTGTCATGAATAATTACTGAATATAAGCGTCCTACCTTCTTCTTTCCTCCGTTACTTCCTCTCCTTTTTGTCAGGCAAAGGGTGGCGATAGCAGCCGCTCCATCTGCCTACAATGCACACGATGTCAAGATAGCCAATATTTTATGCCGGCCAAATTTTGATATTTTGTTGATATGATATTCCTCATGGCGTCCTGAGCATGATCAGCTTTTAGAACAGAACTTTCTATGTTTCAATCTCAAGGAAAACAGGGTTTAGAAGTTAATTTTCCAGCATTTTTTTATGTAATACCCAGTAGAAATGTTTAACATCTTGTAGATATTCGAGGATATCTTTCATTTCCTCAGAATGATATGAAAGACGAAAAAAAATCACATCTCTTCTAACGATAAGAGCATGCGACGTAGCCTCTATAGACACACAGCAACAGTCGCACATCTTCATTAGAAGACGTGAGTAAGAGGGCCGAGAAAGTCACTTCACAATCCTGCTTTTCTCAATATTGGCACATCAAAAGTTCGATTTTAAAGCTTATAGTGCTTAAGAGGTCATCACGAAGATTATATCAAACCATACTGAAATTTTGCCAGCGCCATTACTTGGTGTTGTGAGCCTAGTCCTTGAAGTTATTCATCATGGTGAGAAGTGGGAGATTAATAAACTGAATTCCAAAATATGACGCATGAACCACTTATCACTGCTTGGAGTTTCACTAATTATTCAAATTATCATTTCATACGGATATAGGGTGATTTTAAATATTAGTTAATACAGAGAAATGATTATTTTAATGATGAGGTTATATTGAAGAATAATTAAAATATTTAAGGATAACAGGAAATACACAAAACACATACTTCAATGATAAAACAACTACAGAACCCAAATAAAATTGGAAAGAAAAATTCACTTTAAGGAGCAGCTTGATTGACACGCTAGATATAAAGAGAAGAAAATAACAATAATTGTGATTCAAAAGTGTGCCTTAAGGTGAAAATGCAAACTTATCAACAAGGAGAAAAACCTCTTTGGGATCAAACATGTGGATTTCCAGTTTTCCATGCATAACACCTTCTATTACTCTGGAACATATCAGATCAAAGTTTCAAGCCATTATTTGCATTTTTAAGGATGTTATGAGCATTTGAAATCAGCTGCTTTCAAAGTCATGCTTCCCCGAAAGGCCCCTAGTGGCCACAGCACAAGCCCCATTAATTTTGATACACCTCGATTTCCTAGAATTTTATCGACATAAGTCGCTTAAATTATTGTGGTGCATTATTTGGTTGATGTTATTATTGATGTTCAATGGCTAATGGAGAAGGAATAGCTGCAAGGGTTAAGAAAATACTGGATCGTCATCCTGAACTTTTGGGAAACCATCGAGGATGAGAAATTTTCAGCAAATTCGGTAAAGTTTGGTTTTTTTTTTTTTTAAATTTATTTCCTTTATTTTCTATTTAGTTCATGGAAATCAGAAAGCAGCTTTAATTATAGTGGAAGAGACTGACAGCTATGCAGCTGGTTTTAGTAAAGGAATTAGCCAGGAGGGCTAGTTTTAAGTGAGAGTGCGGTCTCTCTTACACACTAAATCTTTTCACTAAGAGCATATCTTAGTGAGTGACCTTGATTAATGTGAATGCAAAGAACTATCTAGACCCTTGAATAGCTGTGATGTTTTAAGAGCGGAATTTAAAGAGGAGAAGGTTATGTTTTCGAGTCTTAGAGAACTTGAAAAACTGGGGGAAAAAATAAGTGGTTTATTAAAAACAAGAGCAACTGAAGATGCTTCTCAACTTTTGATCAAGGAACGCTCGAAATTAGAAGAAAAGAATAAAAAAAATATCAGAAAATATTTCTCATCAAACAAACTACGAAATTCATTTTGTTTATGAGTTGATAAAAGAGAATTTACAGACAACACCCTGTGATCGAGTCAAGAACCCCATGACTCTAGAGAAAACACTTGCCATCACTTTGCCGTAAGTGTACCACCAACCCGAGCATGTGAAGTGTCTTGACTTAGCTGTATGGACGCTGGTGGTGAAGTCACCAAACTCCTCCCAGAGCAATCTGAAGACTTTGATGCTGTGCAAGGTTCTTGGTGTTCGCAGCACTGAGTTCTTGCTAGAAAACCGTACTCGCTTGTTTTGCACAGGAGCAGTCTTTGAAAAAGTAGTGAGACAGCTACTGCAAACCCTTGGACACAGTTCATGACGGTTGTTTTATTACTGGAAACAGGCTTTGTGTGTTCATTGAGATTTTTATGTAACTGAGCTTGTGATAGGCCCAGCTATTCTCTTTACACTAAATAATCAATAGACCAATGCCAGTAATTGGGACATCCACCTTAGTGAGTAAATCAGCAAGACCGTAGTGAGTTGAATACAAAACATAGATGGAAGGACTTGTTAAATAATGGCTAATTAGAAAAGTTAACAATTGCAATGAAGAGAAGTATAAATGAGTTAACACTATTCATTTTGAAACATTGGTTCCATCTGAAACAGGAGAAATTATGCAAAATAGAAAGCGCTTTGAATTTCACCTGTAGACATAGAGGGCAAATTGAGAATCTTTCAGGGTGAAGGCTCTACAGCTACCTAATGCAAATATTAAAAAGCAAAGATAAGGTCTCTGACGAATGCTTCAAGAACAGAACACCATTTGAGAGTCAAAACGTTCATATCCATGGGTTGTGTGATGTTGCAGGACATTAGCAATGGATTTCCCTAAAAAAAGTATTCTCTGAGAAGATGAAGTCTAATTTCTGCGGATCCAGTTTCATGTGTGTCAAACTCAATTGAAACCATGCGGCTACATTTATTTAACAACAAATCAACAAAAAACCATAAAATTTCGACTTCATTGCCTTTTCTCTTCCTAATAATTCAAAGATCATTCCTATGCATATCCTCTATTTATTTTTTAAGGATTATGTAACCACCCTCCAATTTTCAAACTTTTCAATGGCTGAATCGATTGCTTTAGAACAGGCAATTTCTGAGGAGAGAGAGAGGGGGGGGGGGCCTTTNGGGGGGTCCTTTGAAGAGGAGACCTGAAATGTGGTACCTTAATTCATTTTTTCACTAACGACCCATTAAAAGAGGGAACTGTAGATAGGCACAAGTTTTATCTCGATATAAAATTGAAACTTGTCTCTCGTTCGCGATGTTTTTTAAAAGGGTTCCAAGTGAGTTTTCTGTGAGTATTTACAGATCCATTTGGGCTGTCTCCTTGCGTATTGGTGCCACCATTACAACTACTGTTTGTACTGCTTCCACATCCACTTTCGCCAGGGTTTAATTTAAGTTTTGACTGAAACATAGAGATAATGCCACAATGTAAAGTGAGTAGCTGAAACAATATTACATGGAAAAATATTAATAAATAACAAGAAGCAATTGTAACATTGAATTCTCCAAAATGGCACATATCTCAGTAGTTAGCACTTACATTTTTTAATCCACCTAAAGGTGTTGGTGGACACTACAGGCTTAAAAAAAAAATAAAATAAAACCCTACCCAACCTGACAAGACACAATCCCTCTGGGACTAAAGTAAGTGGCCTTCATACTTCGAATATACTTTTACCCAAGGTATTTTAATTTTTCTCATTTTCTTGTTTTGAAATCATAAAATAGTACGTCTTTTTTCCTGAGAAGCTCACCACTCAATACCTAACATTCAGTTCATCAGACCAAACTTTAGAGTCACGCAAAAGTGTTTAATCCATTATGTAGTAATATCTCCGTGCATTATCCTGGAGTATGTACATATTTATGCCATGTTTTACTTCGACAGACAATGAGTTCATGCGGCCGTCGGATGGGGCTTCAAAGTGGCTCTCTGGCACCATGGAATCACGCTGGCACATAACGCGCGAAAGGCACATTTGAGGCCTCGTAAAAGTACTTTACGATTTTTCCTCATCTAGCAGATTGAAAAGGAACGTGATTTAAGTTAAATTTTCCATTATTATGAACTTCAAGTATCTGCTGTCAGAGTATATAACTACCCTCGATTTTTTTAGTATTTAGAGCAGCAATAGAGTGTCAAATTCTAAGCCAAAATCTTTTCTTGGTCTTATTTATTCCCTATTCCCATTTTAGCAGGAGCAAAAATCCCTCTTCATCCACTCTATTGCATGAAATAAAAAAATTCCGAAATGAAAAAGTTTAGCCTCGACCGAAAATCGAAACCTGAACGATCAGTACAGGAGGATGTTGTTTTGACTGTTCATTACGTTTACGATACATTTTCATACATGAAAGTCCCGGCACCTTCGTACTAACACTAATTTTGAATTAAAACTGTCAAAAATCAAATATCAAGAATGATTCACATTAATTATTTTGAAAAGAGTACAATCACTCCTTGATGTGAGAGATCGGTTGTTTCCCCACAAATTTTAAAGTGACATACGCTGTTTTGGCCATAAATGCAGGTCACAGAGTGTCCTTGTTTCGACGAGTGGTTAAGGAGAAACTTATCTAAATGCAAAAAATCATTTTTTTTTCAAACAAAAAATTGCAATAAATCGATATTAAAATTCGATACATCCATTTTCCGACCACAAAAATCGATTCTCTGACTCAAATCACCTAAACAAACATGTATGGTACGCATCAGTCGTGTCGTTTCAGTAGTCCAGAAATGATCTTGCAATGAGTCAGTTAGGTCATTTTTTTTATTATGTCATTCGAAAGTAGTAAGTGACCAAAGCTGAAAGTTTTTTTCCCAATTTTTTTGAGGACTGCAAACGGGAGAAAAGTTTATTTGAAAGTGCCAAAAATTAGGGTGACCTAAAACGGCATTTGAACCGCGCTCTCGTAGGTTTCGAATGTTCACGTCACGATCAATATGGCGGCGGAAGCGTAGTGGAAGAGTACACAGCGGCGCACAGTGCAGTGTCCAATGGAAATAAGTCAAATTTTCGAACATATAAAATGAAAAAAGTAATGAGATATACGAAAAATGGGGACATTTGTGGTATTATTTTCAATGTTTGATTACTGATTTTGCATCGAATTGGCGTGAGGGGAGGTGATGAGATTTAAGCTCCGCGCGCGGTGACCGGTATAGCCGATGACGCGCAAGTGTTGTGATAGCAGTGATCAAGGCTGATTGACACGGTACCAAATATCCGGTTGGTAATAAAAATGGCTACAAACACTCCTGGTAAGTTATATAATTAAGATTTAATCGTAATAATTATTTTTTCAACTTCTAAACATTACTTTTGAGCACGTTTTTCGATGGTACTCTAATTTAATATTCTTCCCTCTTACTTAAACTTTAAAGACGTTTTTAAGAAAAACCTAAAATAATCAATTTTCTGGACAAGTGATAATGATTGCAAATTTCCTGTAGATTCTGAATTTTTAAGTCCCATCTGCGTCTGGCTACGAATAATGAAGTTATATCGTTTTTTCTGTCTCAAGGTCTTGCTCTGAAAAACTCTGATTAGTCCAGGCGCCTGGTAAGTCTACCTGGAATTTTGGGCACACAGCGATTTTCTTTGGGTTACTTGATGTTTTTGGGGTCGCTGAATCCGAATCTGAAGTTTCCTACCGCGTACCTGGTGAGCATTTTCCGCCATTTTGAAAAAATGGCCTAAAAAGGCCTTTTTTCGCAGTTTTTTTGATATAGCGGCTACGCATGAGAAAAAGTCCCGGATTTAGTTAATGTATTGAATAGCTGACATAATTTGGAAGAAAATTGTATATGAATATGCTAGGTTTGCTCAAAAATTGAGGAACCTCGGATTTCGGAACTTTGGAACGCTTCGGAACTTGGCTGACCGCGGCGAGCCGGATCGCGCAATGACGGGTGCGCCGCGAAAACGTGAATGGGCGCGATGTTCACGATGCTGTATCTTCCTCAATTTTTAAGCAAACCTATAGCATATGTATACACCATTTTCTTCCAAATTATGTCAGCTATTCAAAACATTAACTAAATCTAGGACTTTTTCTCCTGCGTAGCCGCTAGATCAAAAAAACCGCAAAAAAAGGCCTTTTTAGGCCATTTTTTCAAAATAACGGAAAATGCTCACCAGATACGCGGTTGGAAACTTCAGATTCGGATTCAGCGACCCAAAATGCATAAAGTAGGTCAAAAAAATCGCTGTGTACCCGAAATTCCAGGTAGCCTCATTTTTAGCTACCAGGCGCCTGGACTAGATCTCTTCGACTTGTGGACACGGGCATCGAAAAAGGAGTGCGTTACAACAATTGAGGGGAAACTCCGAGAACTGTTCGCAAGCAAACGTGTCTCGGACAAAAATTTGACAAGATGTCTTGAATTTTTTATGGATTTTTTGTATTTTTTATGGATTCTTTGTATTTTTATGGATTTTTCGTCTTTATCTTTCTTTTTTCTCTTGTCTCTTGTGAAGTTTAATTTTGCTGTAAATTTTCGGTGATGTTTTACTGAGCTGAATTTTTTATTTTTAGAAATGCCTTTTCCTTTTTATTAAAGACTTGTAATATGATCAAATCCAAGTGTTCGTCCTTTTTCTCATGCTGATCCTCGGAAACCTCATTATTTTATAGTGTATATTTGAATTTTTCAGCTTTCATTTCACGCAGCATTGAAATTCAGAATGAAAGAAAGGATAGCCCTTAGTTTTGTTAGACCCAGAGTTAAAAATAGTGAAGCCGATAAGTGGAAAATATCATAACAATCGTGCACTTCTGGAAGAAAGCATGAAAATTTCAGAGATTCATCTCTACCCTATAGATATCCGATTTAGACATAGACCCCAAAAATCTGAGCCCCCTGGGGGGGCAGGGGGGCCCCCAAATTTTGAATTTTGAATAACTACGGAACGGCGAATGTTAGCGTAATTTTTTTACAACAGAACGATGGGAAATTTTATTAGGAATAAAACTGGTATGAATTTTTCCGTGGGATCGATATTTTAGGCGTGAAAACGGGAAAAACCATCGGGGGATGGGGAGCCGGCCGTTCTGAGGTAGATCCGCGCGCTGCGCTGTCTGCCCGGGACGCGCGCGGCGGCGCGGTACGGTGTTATCGACGCAACAACCGCTTGTCTTTGTTTAATCTCAACGATGCGCAGTTTTAAAAATATTATAAATTTACCGTACTGCCTAAATACTTTTCCGTAATAATATAAGCCTTGTATTATTAGTAATAAATAAAAGCAAGCAAAAGGCGAAAGACTCCAATGTGAGAGCGCCGAGTCAATAGGAGGGGTCCGTCATCGCGCATCACGTGTCTTGTTTTCCATGAATACAAAGCTTTTCCGACCTCAGTACAGAGTAAATTACCCTTTCCTTACGTAATTTTTGTAAAGGATTACATTTTTTAAGATATTAGAGCGAAATAAGATTTAAGTAGATAAAGATTTTATTAGATTTTGACCCACTTTTTCATGACTACTGGAAATGGGATCCTTGATAACTTATTTTTAGCTTATTTTTCATACTACTTTCGGCGAATGGGATCATGAGCTGCTTACATAAGCAAGAATTCTGCAATACTTGACGCAAAGACATTACTTGAGGAGTGAGGGAGGGGGGGGGGGGCTTCATAGTCCCTTGCCACTAAGGTGCCCAGATTTCCTTCCTTTTCCTCTAATATCGTTTTTCGTTAATGTTAATTGGTTTCTCGCATTTGCATAGGTACTGATACATACGGAATATTCCGACAGTGTTCTTTTCCCCTCTTTTTTACTCCAGCCAGTCAACAGACGTATTCATTTTCATGAACTTCCCGATCTTTCAGATATTCAACAAATATGCGTACCTATTTCACAAAATAGAACGATATATCAAATGAATAATAAAAAATAAGATATCTGAATACTATCGCTTCTTTTTATCGAGTCACACTTGAAGATTGGTATACTAACCACAAGACATGAAAAATGGAATAACAGTAAAAAAAATCCATGTATATTATCTTTCATTTTGTTCTATGGAGTTTGGAGTGGAGTTGGTAACATTTGTATTGAAAAAAATATTAATATAGGAGGAAATTTATTTATCATATGCAGGTTCTGATCCTTTAAAGAACCTCTGAGAAGGACCAGTACCTCAAGAAGAAATTCATTGCATTTCTTCTTTTTTAACCCGCAAATCTCGTACCAATTTTTTATTTGTATAGAGCTCGTGGAGAGTTCTAGGTATGTCGGAGACAATTTTTAAGAAACGGGACTTGCGAAATATTTAATGCACAAAACGCACACCTTAAACTTTATCGCACAGTATAACACTGATCAAATTAGCTTCAGAGATTATCAGAGGGTTAATTTCTTGTCAAAATATCAACAAATCAGTCAAAATCAGTAATCGGTTATCAGTTGCAAAATTACGGAGATTGAGGGAAATCGTGTGATGCGAGATTTTATTGATGACATCGTCACCTTCCAGGCAAAGTATCACAAGTGCCATGCGACGTTTAAAAATTTCCGCCGCCATTTTATTTTTTTGCAGAGAAATTGTTCAACGAAGCTGTCCGAAAATTTCACTGAATTTTCTTTGTGCTGCCGATAAAATTTAGTGAAATTTCCAAACAGATTCAACCAACAATTTCTCAGTAAAGAAATGAAATGGCGGCGGAAATTTTTAAACGTCGCATGGCGCTTGTGATACTTTGCCTGGAAGGTGACGACATAAGAGCAGGATATGTTCCCAGCAGGCGCGACTTCATATCACTCAAACGGACCGTTTTTGCAGATTAGCGGATATTGGCGGCTAATTATTACTTTACAATATTCCTTATACTTATACAAGAAGCAGTCCAACAAAGGTTTTTGGGGGATCTTTTGTCCCCATCAAGCTTTCTCAAGATTCTTTTGGCGTTTCTTGGAGCAAGTTTTGAATGTGGTTTTGGTCCTCTTAAAAAAATGCCTATACGTAGCGATGATGTACCAAAATGTTCCTTCAAGAGAAGAGAATAAGCATGCTTGTTTTTTACTCATTTTTTTTTACAAAATTAGGTTCCCTGTTTTGAAAGTCTGGCTAGAAGCCGTCTCCCGGGAACTTAAGGGTTGATAAGCATATTTAGATACCATCCTGGTACAAACACTTTAAAATCATTTTGCAGGTCATCGTGGTATACAAATAAGATGTGTGACTTTTAGCCCCCCCCCCTTCCCGAGACAACTGTACGTCAGATTTTATTCCGTTCAACTGATGACTGATACAGTTATCATGGATGCTTTAATACTTGAACTTGACAAATCCATACAACAAAACAATCCAGGACTCCAGCACCTAGACCCTTCTCCTTCCATTGCCGTCCGCTCGCTTGCATACATACATATATTACCTGCAAAAGTTAAGCCTTTTTTAAGGCTTCATAGGTAGTAAGATATATTCATAATATTTTTAAAACTGCGCATCGTTGAGATTAAACAAAGACAAGCGGTTGTTGCGTCGGTAACACCGTACCGCGCCGCCGCGCGCGTCCCGGGCAGGTAGCGCAGCGCGCGGATCTGCCTCAGAACGGCCGGCTCCCCGTCCCCCGATGGTTTTTCCCGTTTTCACGCCTAAAATATCAATCCCACGGAAAAATTCATAAGAACCAGTTTTGTTCCTGATAAAATTTCCCATCGTTCTGTTGTAAAAAAATTACGCTAACATTCGCCGTTCCGTAGTTATTCAAAATTCAAAATTTGGGGGCCCCCCCTGCCCCCCCAGGGGGCTCAGATTTTTGGGGTCTATGTCTAAATCGGATATCTATAGGGTAGAGATGAATCTCTGAAATTTTCATGCTTTCTTCCAGAAGTGCACGATTGTTACGCTTATCGGCCCCACTAAAAATATAATATGCATCGTTAGCATCTGTAAGTATACAGTCGATTTTTGGAGCGAGCTTGCGTGAAACTATACATTTTAATCCTTGAATTATTGCTAAAAAAAATGTTTTTTCCAGGCGCGTTGGCAACACTGTATTTAAAATGGAGGTGTTATGAGAGGGCCAGATATACCCTTGTAAGCCTTATTTGTTGTGATTTCAGGTTGGTTTTCTCTCTTTTACCCGGCACATTTGGCAAAACCATATTCAATCATTTGGGAAATTTTGGAAACTTTGACTTTAACACAAGCAAGTGCATGATGAATACTTAACACTGTCAAAATTTCATTGAATTCCATGCATTATTCGATCAGATATGAATTATTTCTCATCCGCCCATAAGGACACTGCACTGTGCGGCGTCGCGTTGGCGGTGTGTTTTTGTTGCTCAATTGGAGGTTAGGTAGGTTATTTTGTTTGAGATTCATACCCATTGTTCTTAAGGTTTATCTACAGCTCCGTGAAGTAAGAAATTTCTCCGCGCAAGGGGCGCCACCGCTGTATTTTGATTTTTTGGTCCACGCTATTTGAGTCTGTATAGCTCCACGTGAGTCCTTGAGCTTTTATGAAAGTTAAAGGAATTTCTGTTTAAATTGCAGAGTCATAAGTTCTAGCCTTAACATTCTTCTTCCTATTGACACTAAAAACGACGAGAAAAGTAATTTCTGAAGCTCTGAAACTTGGTCCTAGAAAAAAGTAGGGTTAAGCATGATGACCTTGATGCAACCAATCGCGACTGATCGCTCTCAGCAGTTGCAGATATCTCTCTCCCGTCGCGGGGCGCAACGCGAAACGACTTCATTACAGCCGCTTTCCGCATCATCGTCCGCATTCCGCCCGAACATCTGAGGTAATTTGTCAAAAATGAATTGATGCCAAATTTCTTTTTAAGTATTTGTTATTTTGATGAAAAGCCATTAAGAATAATTTTAACCTCCATTTTGTGTACCTTCTACATATTTACCCCCAAAAGACAGTCGTTATACCCCCTTGTTTATATCTTCATCTAGTCACATTCATAGAAATTTTTGGTAAAAGACTCTTGTAATTTTCCAAATAATAACACCATTTGGCACACATCGCATCTCAACGCACCGCTCTAACATCGAGCATCTCTAATCTTAACGTCTCCTATCACTTGTACTGATTGTGTCTGACTCTCGACTGTCACTCGTGCATTATAATTGCATTATGCACCTATTTCTCTATTAATTATTAATTAATATCTTATTGTTTTATAGCGGGGACGGGGGGCATAATAATTAAGATCCAAATATTTATCACAAATATCTATACTTTATTTAGCATGTATACATATGTATATATTTTGCACCAATTATCTCAATCGTAATGTACAGCACCTGTACATTCTGTAATCTAGATAGGGCCGGTGTCGTACCAGCCTACCCATTATTGTAAAAGTAGTTCTTAGTTCCTAGTTATAAGAAATAGAGTTAATACCATGTAGTCCTCTATTCTTTCAATAAAAAAAAAAAAAAAAAAAAAAAAAAAAAAAAAAAAAATCTCTCTCCCACCGTGAGCTGTCTCTCTCGCACTTACAGATATCTCGTAAGAGAAACTGGGATCAAGTTACAGCTTTTATTATTAAACTTTCAAAGCTCGCGTTTGTTTCTAAGGATTCCAGACGTAAGCTGCTAGAACTTATGAGTCTTAGAATTTAAAATATCTATTGTGATATTTAAATAATCACTGATTTTGGAGTCGGATTTTAGCAGCGCTACGTGGTGGATTTTTTCGGAACTACAGCTGAAGATTCACCTTAATTCTCTAAGCTTTTCAATCAGAATGTGATACAGATTCATGTAGGATATGAAACATTCACGTAGAACTTACTTAACCTCAAACGAGAAATCGTGATGTCAACAACGGCAGCGTGGCGGTAGTAAGCAGGTTGGTTTCGTCGCCGCCATCTTCCCGTCTATGATGCGTAGATTCGACGATTCATGGCGGTCGGTTCAAACATGTTTTGAGGACCCCAAAAAAGGAAGCGTCATATCTCCACAGAGACAATTTTCCGAGAAATTTTAACGTGCGCATCGTTCTTCTCGTACCGAAAACTGAAAAATTCAACTATTTGCAGGCAAATCCCTCCCGAGCTTAACCGACTTATCAGAAAAACAACTCGGTAAAATCTAAAATTTGACAGTTTGAAAATTGGAGCCCCATGTTTTCAATGAAAAAGTTGTCCTATAGAGCCAGGATTTTTCCATTTGTCCCTTTGGTGGTTTTCTTCACTAGCCGTCACAGATTTCGAAAAAAATGTTTTTTCGCTCCACCCTAGCATCAGCTCCCTACTTGATTGAACCTTCGTCTTGTTCTAGTGCCTACATTTTTTTACGTTGCCGCCAGGCTGCACGGCAGGTGGCACGGGTTTGCAACTGGTAACCTAGGTTTGGGATAGCCCCAAACTTTCTCCCTTGGACGCCATTAAGATGAAACTATGACTCACCTTTAAATAATTCTTGTCCATGGGTGAAACGAGTTTCAGGCTTAGGGAGTCTCCTGCTTCTTTGATTAATTTTACAACATGATCATGCTGGGACCATTTGACATCATGGTTACCTATTGCTACGATAAAGTCACCCTCCTTCATTCCTCCAAACTAAAACAAAAAGTTAACGGCATTAGCTTTGTAAATTAGTACGAATATATGGTGATTTTCCCCCTCCGATGCAGTGACTTCATATACGCTTTTAACATCATTGCCTCAGACACTTGAATGCCAAACTCAGAATAATCCTTCCTTGCCTTCCGATGTTTCTTCTGCAGGCTTAACTTCTGAATTAGAAAAATACCCTCATTTTTTTGTGCCGAATGCTGTTTATGGTTTATGTTATGGTCCAAACAATGAATATGGAGCGCTTTTATGGGCTACTAACCTATTTTGAATTTACACTTTTTGAATCTAGCAAAATACCTAGTAGTTTTATGTTATTTTTCAAAAATTTTGACAGAAGCTCTTAATTTGTCCAGTAATTCCTCCATTTCGGATACGAAATTAAGTCGGCTGTATAAAAACCCATTATTTTCGCAATTTCGGGCGAAAAACATGGAAATTCACTTTTACCTGAACCCCCTTACAGCAGAAATTTCAGCCGGTCCAGACACAGTCGGATATAAGCTAAGTTTACTGTACATGAACTTATCCAGGATCTGAACTTTGCAGAGGACCAACAATTTTACTTCCATTCTTAAAAAGCTTGACAAAGAATCCTGGTTTGTCCACGATTTACCCCATTTTCGATCCTTTGTGCGGTGAAAATTTTTTAAACTGAACACAGATATAGGCACAGGGGACCAATAAGAACATTCACATCCAAAACCCAACAAAGGTGTAACTTTTTCGTCCATTTTACCCGTCTTTTTGCTGTGAAAATACTGTCAAGAATGATGGCGGTTCGGCAACTTCGCCCCCCATTTCTCAAAAACCGTGCGTATACTCAAGCTAAAACTTTTACTACAGTTTTACAGTATCATAAGGTATCGTTTGGGCCCGGTTTCAGAAAAATCCCCGTTGTCCTAAATTGTACCAAAAAACGGTCATTTTCAGGGTCGCTCTTTACTGAAATAATGATGTAGGTAGCTGTTGGGGGAAAAAAGAAAAGCAAAATCCTATTAAGATTATTTAAAAAGTCGTCCATTAAATACGCAGGCTCTCATCAAAACATTCGAAAGTTAATGCTACCAAGATGGTAGGAACAGTAAATTCAGGTGTTCAGTTTGGAGACATGCATAAGAGTTAACTTTGACTTAAGGCCACAACTTTGATGTTTCTTGCAAAATTTAACAAGAGATAGCGAAATAAAAACATGAAACTACATTGCAATAGTTCCATCAAAAAGTAGATAGAAACTATCCACTAGCCTCTTGTTGTTAAATAAAATCTCTTTTTTTTCAGAGCTCCACCACTCAATGCTTAAAATTACCCCCTCATCAACTAGTTTGGTAAATGAAACATTGTTACGTTGACTACCTAGGCACACTGGATAACAATTAATTAACTCAACAAGCAACAAGTAAATGACATGATTGCTATTCCCCATAAGAAAATACGAGTCTTAAAGCTTTGATTGCCCATATACTAGTAGAGAGGTTATACTTGCCTCTAAACTCGATATGCAGCTGCAGTTTGCAAGTAAAATATTAAATGTATAGGTAATACATACTATTGTATTATGTAAATATTGAAGGTATTAAACGGTTCTTACATGAGCTAGAGAGCCTTGATCAACAGCAGCTACAATTACAGGAGAGTCTCCTCGGACACTAAACCCGAAACCCGTGTCATGCGAGTTTCTCCTTTGCAGGCGAACTGACCGAGGCGCTGTCCAATGATGTTTCGCAGAAAATATTGCCACAGGACCTAGTTGCTTGAATAAATCTTCCACAGGTAAATGTGCAAAATCGGGCGGTGTTAAAGAAAGCTGGAACTTAGTTGAGGCTGAAATTCGATCCGAACAGAAATTGATCATCTTCAACATAATTACTTGTCTATTAGGAAGGCCCTTACTTTGGACTTCGCCAAAATTTAAATGGGACCTACATGCAATGAGTGCCTATTGGTTAATAATGAACGGGGAAGGTGGGGGTGGGGGGGATATTAATGAAAAAAAGCAGGTATATACGAAATTTGACATGGGATTACAAGATAGGCTCCTTACAACACTTAAAATTACAAATTGTATGGTGCATCGCAAATCTAGATGGTATTTTATGGATTGTTCCGGTGCTTCAGGTTGGGTAGGGTTGGATTTCATACTTTTAAGATAGAACCCTACATATAATAAAGCTCTCAAAAAAAATTCTAAGAGATGGCGCCACAGTTGCTGATCTTAAAACATGTCATTTTTTGTCACTTCTCATTAATTTGTGAAGTTAGGATTGAATATATTAAAAATATCTCAACATTACTACAAAGTACGTATCCTCAGGATTATGCAGCTATAATCGATGTTAACCTTAAATGAAAATTAGTACCCGAAAATATGCATGCTGTAATGAGATTCTTCACATTTACGCTTATTCAAACGGGCCGCGCGCGCGGACGTGCCTCATTTCTTTCAGAAATCACGATACTCCATTGAGAAAAGCGGATTTAGGCACCGATCGTGACGGCTCGGACAAATGTTCGAATTCCCCAAAGATTACCAAGGACTCCAGATACCGCACGCCGTATACTTGCCGTAGGAAAGAAGCGGCCCCCCAGTCGCCTGCAGCGCCAGGGTAGGCAATCTGTGTAGCGGTATGCCATACTTTAGCCCACTTGTAAGGGAAGTGCATGGGAAATTGGGAAATTGCACTTCGAATGTGCAGATTATGAACGGCAAATTGCGAAAATTGTTCATTTTAGTCACTAGTGGACTCACTAGTGGACTTATCTGGACTCAGAAAATTGAGCAGAGTTATTTGCATTAATTTTTTTTTTCTTTCTTTTTTTTTTGGTTTTTCCGGCATTTTTTAACGATTTCAAACATAAGAAAATTTAATACAGTGAATCTTCAACCAAACTTAGCACAGCACGGCGAAACCGGTCAAACACACGGCAAGCAGTATATTCGTTAGCTCGAAGTATGGCATACCGCTAAACAGGTTGCCTACCCTGGAGCTGCAGGGGACTGGGGGGCCGTTTTTTATTTCAATGCGGTATCTGGAGTCCTTAGTAATCTTTGGAATTCCCCTCTTCCGAGGGTCGGTGCAGTCCGAGGGCTATTCTCCCTCTCACCATTTCTCCTTCGCTGCGCGGCTGATCACAGTGATCACTCTCTCATCTTTTCTCTCCACTGCTCCGCCACCACCCCGCACGCGGCCAGTTTAGAAACCTGGCAGTCCTGCTGGCTGCTTCCGCTTCGATGACATAATTTCTCTCCTACGCAAAGGCGCCTGCCGCGGGCCGCGGGGGTGTGTGACTTTTCCACTCTAGCCCCTCTCTCCTCCCTCCTTCCTACCACACTTGCTAGGTACCTGCCACAAGGTGACCAGGGACCAGTTCTATAGGACCCTGGACTCCCGTAAGAGCCAATGTAAAAATTCGTGAGCAGGTACTAGTGCTGCTATCTCGCGTAGGACCCTCGCAACTCACTGCTGTTATCAGTTGTTGGACTTCATTAAAATCCGTAGGATCGCGTATAATTGCAAAAAATCGAATTTTTCACTCTACGTACGTGTGCGTCGAGCCCTTCCTAGTCGAAAGGGGTCGAAAAACGCCAAAAATATACTTATTTTTCAAGAATTCAGCCGCCTTGTGTGTTATTTTTCAATCTTCGGCTTAACCTCACTTTTGGAGCGGGCGATGGATGAGTCGAGGTTCGGGGGGAAGGATCCTCTGAGTTGACTAGGGTCCTACGCGAGAATGCGCTGCAATCACCCGCTCACAACAGGACGGCGTCCTATAGAACTCGTCCCTGCTGCCACCTAGCCGTTGCTCTTAGCTGCCTCTTGGTTTTGCCGCATAAAAGAGGATCCCTGAGCGGATCCATACACTTCGAGCCGGGAGGGAAGGGGGTGGCTAGCGGAAGAGAATTCTGGTTCTGGGATGCTTGCCCCGAAAATATTTCCAAATTTTACAGCATCTACTTTGCAGTTTGAGTAATTTTGTCATGAATGATTGTGTTAATGATAATTTTAATGTCAGAGCTTTCCTTCTTCTTTTCTCATGTTTTTCGGGCAAACGGGCGGGGGAGGGCGTACGTGGTGTGTTCAAAAAGTTACCACCGGACTGATGCTGCCCCAGCCTTAAAAATCGTTCGATCAAACTCGACTGGAGTTCATTTGAAAGCTTACTCTCTTACGAGTACAATGGTTTTTAGTTTTTTGAAAAATATTTATTAGTTCCTGCACAACGTCAATTCTACGGTGGCGTGTTTGACCTGCTCGGCGATTTTGGTACTCTAGAAATTTTCTAATGGATTGATCCGGCTGACACATTCAATTCAACTGAAATTTCTGCAATGGTGGTAAGAATGTCTCTTCTGACAATCGATCGGAATTCTTCCAAATTTGCATAATTCACAGAGGTCGGAGGTCGGTCGTGCCTATCTTTCATCTCCCACTGCCGTCCTATCCTCTAGGAAACACGAATGCCACTCGAAACACTGATTCCAGCCCATCGCATATTTACCGTGCACTTGTTCGATCAGGTCAAAAACCTCTTTCTGCAGATTTTTGCAGATGAACACTAAACTTTATTAAATATTTGCTCAATTTTAACTAGCATTTTCGCTGTAATCAAAGTGACAAAGCAGAAACACACTGAACTGACTTTGGCGAGGTCAGAAACTCGCATCCTTTGGGGTTAAAAAGAGCATGTACTCAGCTAAAGTTTATGTTACCATATCCAAGTAGGCCACGTATAAAATTGATTCTTATCGGCCTCCTCTGTGCACGCACTTGTATGTTGCACACACCTCACACTAGCATATGGATCTCGATGATTCGGCCCTCCAACAGCCCTCCAAGAGCGGGCCAAACATGCCGCCGTAAAATTGATGTTGTACGAAAAATAATGAATATTTTCCAAAAAACTCAAAACCATTGTACTCGTGAGAGTATAGGCTTTCAAATGAGCTCCAGTTGAGCTTGATCGGATCATTTTTAAGGCCGAGGCGGCATCAGCCCGGTAACTTTTTGAACACCAAGTATGCACTATACGCTTGGATCCGCCCACGTTTTGCCGGTTAAAAAGGAGGGGTATCGATACGGGCCTTTTTTGGCCCCTTCCTTGAATCTGGAAATTTATGCGGGTTTTCCAAGTTGACTCAATGTAGTTTACGGAAATAATCATGATTTAGCCCATAGGCCACTGGATACGTATCAAACGGTTGCCTAAACATAGGTCTGCAGGCGTATTTCGGCGAAAATTCGTGGCTTTCTATCACTCCGAGGCTTTTTTGACACCGAGCGCATCGTCCAGCTAAAACGAGCTTTTGATGTGTTATCAAGGACGCTTTAGGACATTTTTTAAGCTTGGTTTGGTTTTAGTTAGATGATGCGCTCATAGTTAAAAAAACTTTTTACAAAAATTGACGTTTACAGGACATCCGAAAAAATCTCAGGGAAACACGTCTCTCGCACTGTATGCACGCTACTTTCATTATCGAGGGCAGTTATCAAGCCTTGTTAGACTCTTACAAGGAGATTTCCCTCAATTGTGTCCAAAAAAAACCCTAAAGACGTAATTCCCTAAGATTTTTACGGATATCCCTTAAACGTCGATTTTTGAAAAAGTTTTTAACGATGAGCTGCGCCTATGAAATTTTTGAGTTGCCCCCGCCCCGTCTCCCCGTGGGGGGGGGGGTTTAAAACTAAAAAGTACCTCAAAAAGTTTCCCCCTCGATATGAAGATGGACGCCACAAACCGAAAGTCGATATCGTAATTATAGAACTGAAGTTATGGCCAGTGGTGCGTAACTTTTGAATAACCCGGTATACACTTATATTTTATTTTTACAGATCACCTATAAATACGTGCATGATGTTTCCGAGAAAATTTTGATTTGTTCTGATCAGATATTCCAATAAAAGGTGCAGTTTCTGAATAAAGTATTGTAAAGGTTGATAAAATTTTAATGCAGGGTTTGGAGGACATAAAACACAATAGGCACTTACATGAACGCATACATTAGAACGAAAGATGGGTGTCACTTCGACTGCTAGAGCTACCGGGCTTTACACATCCGTGGGGTGATGACACTTCGCGTCGGATCCGGAGGTGCGCGCAGGCACAGAGTAAGGGAGGCCTGAGATAGAGAGAGATGAGAGGGGAGGGGAGAAAGAAAAGGACAGAAACCGGAGAGAATTGCCAGGCATGAGGATTCGGACCCCCACTCCTTTCGATAACCGGCCGAGATCGAAAAGGTTTGCGCGGGCATTTTGAAATGCGCAGACATCGGAACTTTCATCGCGGCGTGCATAGTTTCTCCGCAAATAATGATCGCCGAAAGAAGCTGATTGTACATAACTATTTAGCATACTATAATCTTTGTAGTGACGTTAAGAAAATGTCGCAAGTCTGGCTTATGTCTGAGCAAATCGCCCAGATGCATCGAAAAACATGGAAAAAACGACAGATTTCGGCGAAGCGCCACGTGGTGGCGGTTTTTTCAACTACAGTAGTAGGGATCCACCTTAAGGGCACTAGATCATGTAAAAAGGTAGCGCCAAACCGGACGAATCGCGATTTGCCAAAAATCATTAAAGAAGGGTTCAAACCTCAGCAGCACTGCGGCACCATTTAAAATTATTTTTTTTCCAAAAAACTGTTCTGCCCTTTCCATTGCTTACCAAGAGGAACCGTTTGCAGGGTTTTACCCTTCAAATTTCGAAAAAGTCGAAATAAAAGCCGCCCTAGTGTTGCTCTTTTTCTGAGAGTAGAGAAGATACAGAAATCACTGGCTTATGATGTATTGATGCATGTCGCTATTTTGTCAAATGATGCTGAAAAAT